TCCCCGCCCCGCGTCCCCCCGCCCCTGAGGCCCGCGTCCGCTTCCGTCTCAGCGAGCAGTGCATCGAGGCGTATGAGCTGCTGCTGGCGCTGGCCGAGAGCGAGCAGAGCCTCATCCTGGGGCAGTTCCGGGCGGCCGGCGTGGGCTCCTCCCCCGGTGAGTGGCCCGAGACCCCCGGCCCCCCCCCGGCTCCTCGCGTGGGTCCCGGCCGTGAGGGCGGCAGGACCGGGGCGGACACGGGATTCCAGACACAGGAAAGCGAAGGAGCCCCGCGGGCCGGGACCGATGGCGCAGGGACCCCCGCGCCCGGCTCTACCCTGAGCAGCCTGGAGGCCCGTCCCCCCACGCCCCGTCCTAGGCTCCTGGCAGCTGAGAGCAGGGAGAGAAAGGAGGAAAGGAAGTGGACGGGTGTGCGCGCTGCCCCGCACAGCCCCACGCACCCCACCCTAGGCGCTCCCCCACCAGGCCAGAGACGCCGCCAGCGTGCCCCTTCGAAGCCTCGTTGTCTTCCCTCGCTTAATGCGACTGGAAGCTTTATTCCTTCTCTGAACAGATCCCGAGACTAGGCTGGGCCGCAGTCATGCTTTATATTTGTCAGTCGTGGGGCTTGAACTCTGGGCCTGGGCGCTGTCCCTCAGCTCTCCAGCTCAAGGCGAGCGCTCTACCACTTGAGCCACAGCGCCACTTCTGGTTTTCTAGTGATTTTTATTGGAAATAAGAGTCTCACGGACTTCCCTGCCTGGGCTGGCTTTGAACTTTGATCCTCAGATCTCAGCCTCCTGGGTAGCTAGGATGACAGGTGTGGGCCACCGGTGCCCAGCCCATATCACAGTTTGTATAGTCATGCGAATTAAGGAAAACAGCTAACAGGGGAGAGTATTAATCAGCTTTTAGTGCGAATCAGAGAACTGTCTTAGAGCAATCCGTCCACAAAGGACGCCTATGTGAGTCTTCCTATGTGAGTCTTCCGTCCCCACACCAGAGCTCTGGGGGGAGGGCAGCTCTGGCATGGGCAGCTCGCAGCAGCCCGGGGCAGGCTCAGCCCTGCAGTCTTAGCTACTCTGGAGGCTGAAGTCAGCGGATGGCAGTCCAAGGCCTGCCAGGGCAGACAAATCGGAGACTCTGGTCTCTAGTTAAGCAGGAAAAAAGCAGGAAGCAGAGGCTTGGCTCAAGCGGTGGTAGCGCACCAACCTTGAGCAGAAAAGAGCTCAGGGACTGGGCAGGGTCCTGAGTTCAAGCCCCAGTGGATGCTCCAGCCCTGCCCCTCCACCGGCTCCACCTCCCGCCCAAAGTCCAGGGCTCTCGACCAGCCAGGCATCTGTGTTAGCAGAGCCGAGCGGAGCTGGAGACACCTCCCCCACCCCGACCCAGCTGCAGGGCAGCTGTCGCAATGGGCCAGGGACACGCCTGGTGGCCGCGGTCATCTCAACGGCCAGGGCCACTCGGTGCTGGCTGTTCTGTGCACGTGGACATGGGGGTCATGGCAGGACGCTGCCCCTCTGGGCGAGGCCCGATCCCCCCCCCCCACCTTGCCTGCTTTAGACAGAGCACTGTACCGCTGAGCTCCGCCCCAGCCGGCACAGCTGCGGGTCTCTGTGTGCAACAATCAGGGCTGGGGTGGTGGCTCAGTGGTAGAGTGCTGGCCTTGCATGCATGAGGCCCTGGGTTCGATTCCTCAGCACCACAGACACAGAAAAAGCTGAAGTGGCGCTGTGGCTCAAGTGGTAGAGCGCTAGCCTTGAGCTGAAGAGCTGAGGGACAGCTACTCAAGAGGGTGAGACCTGAGGTTCAGGTTCAAAGCCGGCCAGGGCAGGAAAGTCTGTGAGACTCTTACCTCTGGTGAGCCACCAAAAAGCCGGAAGTGGGAGCTGTGGCTCAAATGGTAGAGCACCAGCCTTGCAGCACACGGCCAGCCTGTGACACACGAGCAGCACACGGCCAGCCTGTGACACACGAGCAGCACACGGCCAGCCTGTGACACACGAGCAGGGTGTGACACACGAGCAGCACACGGCCAGCCTGTGACACACGAGCAGCACACGGCCAGCCTGTGACACGGGAGCAGGGCCTCAGTTTCCCCCGTCCTTAGTGGCCGGCCGGCCCCGGCCCCGGTGACCCCAGGCCCCGTGCCGCCGCAGGGGACGCGTCGGGCGGAGAGAGCGTCACGCACATGCTGCAGCGCGCCCACGACCGGCGCAAGTCGGCGGAGAACGCCACCAAGGCCCTGCTGGCCAAGCTGGACGGCAGCTGCGCAGGCGCCTTCGCGGTGCCCGGCTGCAGCGGGCAGCCCTGGGAGAGCCTGTCCTCCAACAGCCACACCAGGTACCGCCGCCCCGCCCCGCCCCGCCCCGCCCCGGCCCCCGGCCAATCGGGAGGAGGCTGGCTCACTCCTGGGCTCCGCCCATCCTCCCTGCCATTGGAGGGCAGCCCTGGTCCAAGGGTGGGGCGACCTCCCCTCCGCCAGTGAAAAGCTGGGCGTGCTGGCCCGAGCCTAGGCAGGAAAATGGTAGGAAGACGCGCAAAAAGCAGGTCCCTGCCTCCAAACTGCCCGGCAGAAGGTCCCGCGTGAGGCTCCAGCAGGGGCAGGCGGGATCTGAGCCCCGACCTCGAGGCCCCGCCGCTGACGGGGCCGGGGAGGGGACGGCCACGCGCCGGGGCCCGAGGGGCGCAGTTCAAAGCCCGCCCGGCAGGGAAGGCCGCCACAGGCTGGACGAGGAGCTGAGGTGCAAGCCGCGGACACCCGGCTCAGATCCTCCCGCTGCGACAGCCTCGAGGGCGCACACACACACAAATCTCCACCGTGCCAGGAAACGGGGGGGGGGGTTCCCTTGTTACTGCGCGTGCGCAGGCCCGAGCTCCGGGTCTGCGCTGCCCCGCCCCTCGGGCCCGCTCCATTGCTGTGAGATGGGAGCCAGGCAGGCTTTCGTGCTGGGCTGGCTTCGAACCCGTGCTCGGTCTGGGGCCGCGCCCCCCGGGGCGGGGGTGGAGGGAGCGGCGCGGGCGCGTGCGGGGCGCGCGCCCACGCCTACGCCTGTCGGGTCCCGCGCAGCACCACCAGCTCCACGGCCAGCAGCTGCGACACGGAGTTCACCAAGGAGGACGAGCAGCGGCTGAAGGACTACATCCAGCAGCTCAAGAGCGAGCGCGCGGCCGTGAAGCTGACCATGCTGGAGCTGGAGAGCATCCACATCGACCCGCTCAGCTACGACGTGAAGCCGCGCGGCGACAGCCAGCGCCTGGACCTGGAGAACGCCGTGCTCATGCAGGAGCTCATGGCCATGAAGGTGCGGGGGGACGGGGTGCGGGGGGG